CACTACCGTTAATTACCGCTTCAGGGAATATATAGAAAATGATCATGGCTACTAAACGGCCCCAAGCGGCCCCCACTAAGCCAGTTGGTATAAATATGCCAAGAGATACATTTAGGCCGAAAGTAACGCAAGCCAGAAAGTAGTAAACTAATGTGAACACCGTCAGCGTTAGTATTTTGTGCGAGCCTATGAGTAAAAGAAAACAAAAGTTAAAAATTAAATTGATTACGTGAAAATAAAGTCAATTATTGTATATAATTTTGTACCTGGTGGATCATGAAAGAGTGAACGAACAGTGGCCTCCGGTGTTTGGAACCATAATGCTGCTACTGCGTTATATTCATTATCCTCACAAAAGAGCTGCAAATGTTATGTGTTCATGTTTACATGTGTTAAAATGTTATAGATATTCAAATTGTTTCCTACTTGTACTGGATAATCGGTTGGGTCATTTCCGAGTGGGCGACAGTCATTTATGAAAAAAATCATGACACATGCCAACGTCACACCGATCACTGCCACAAGTGCCGCTTCTAGAATTCGTGCAAATTTGAACTTAATAAAACGTGAACGAAATCGATTGATATGCGTATTATATGAGTTCCACATGGCACCCAAGAGACCACCAGTTACGCCAAATAGCATAAATATAGGTAACTCGAAATATTCAAATGTTAGGGGTTGCTCGAATTTCCCCAAATTAAACAGGCCAGTAAAAGTAAAATTGTTTAAACCATGATATGCCGATAGGACAATATTTAGCGTAAACGAACTTATAATGGATGCGACCAGGGTTCGCCAAATAAGATTTTGGTTCCAGAAACTAGCTGCCTCCTCTAATGAGAATAACATTCCGCCGATTGGTGAGCCGAAAGCAGCAGCAACACCAGCCGCAGCGCCACCTAATACAAAATCTCGTTTCTCATGATCATCTCGAAAAGCGCGAAAAACTCGAAAATCCTTAACAAACGTTGTACTTTTTCCTTGGGATATACCCGCCGCAACTACGGCGCCGGCATGAGCCATTGGACCTTCCTGTTCGTTGTAAAACCATATTAATAGTAAGTATATTATATAATATATATTTCATAATAATCACCTTTCCTCCAACCAGGCCGCCTACTACCGCCGTTACCACACCTACCGCTTTTACAGCCAGTGTTTTTATACGAACAATTCGAGGAATTTTAATACCGTTTAGATAGCTTTTTACTTGAGGCATTCCACTGCCAGCAGTTATTGGCTCCACATAAGTTACTAACGCTGCACCCAATACCACTGGCACTATGCTCATCGCCATCCAATACATATATGGAATGACCAAATTTCCTCCGGGGTTGATATTAGCAGCTACGTTGTTGTCAACAGCTAGAATTAAGATCATTACGGTATTTATTTAATATCCGTTATTTGTTAATAAATATTAAAAGTGTATTTTTTGAATTGATTTTTTGAAAAGTTACAATTTTGCGTTAACATATACATACACATAACTACAATACTTCGGATTAGAGTTTGAAATTTCAGAAACTTAAATTGAGATAGACTTTAAGCATTTAGAAATTATGGTTCGTACAGTTTTTGAGAAACGTGTATTTTACTGCAGACAACTCTTCAATGGGGATGTCAATAACGCAAGCGATTAGTGCGGTCACAACACCAATTTGTATAAATATTATCCAACGCAGAATATCTTTTCGAATGTTAAAACGCGCATTGTCGGAGTATTTTTGATCTTCCTTGAATAGTACATTGTCACATACATCGTAATCCAAACTCTGTCAATTCATTGAACAATTTGTATTTTAAGAAGAATCTCTAGTAAAAACAATAAACATTAAAACTAACCTCGTAGATATCATCTTTAAGCGCAGTGGTGTTTAGAGTAGTTGAACGCGAACGAATATAAAAAGTTGGTTCAGTTTGTCTTCCATTGGCTCTTCCTTCATCGGCCTCTAAGTTATCTACTGAGTTGTTTTCCGACCGCATGCGAATAGAGTTTGTATCAGGACCTTGTGGCACCTGACCACCAAGCTGTGACTATTTTATTAGTTTCAATGACAAAAAACCGATGTTTATTAGTGCTTGTAGAAGAAGCATTTAATATGGTAAGTGATAAGGGTAGCTAATGACTCATTATTGCTGCATTCAGAAAATGTGGGTATAATACAAGAAAACGAACTTATAGAAACCACACATGCATATTTTAGAAAAGGATTTGTAAAATAAGCTTACTCCAGACGAAGTTGGCTCCTCACCACTTGGGTTTATTGCTAGAGGTTCGTCGTCACCTTCGATCTGTTGCTCCTGCAATTCTTTGTAAGCATCATCTTTTGGCTTTAAACCTCCTTTTGGTTTAGTTTTGTATAAGTCATTATCATCCTCCTCCTCACTTGAATCGATATCAATCAGATGTTCTACGTCCTCAACCTTTTTCATTGTTAAGATTTAATGAATGTGTATCTTTTTAACTAAAGTATTAAAAATATTAAAAATAGACTTATCAACAATTAGTTTTACTTGCACGCAGGGTTGCAATTTTGATACGAAAATTTTTTTTATAGATGTGCATTGTTGTGACTTTCATTTAAGTTGCCTGTAGAGTTTTATTCCATATAACGTTTTGAAATATAAACGCGGGCTAGAGCAATTTAGACGGGAATGTATTGAATTCACGTTTTTGATTAAAATATATATATATTTGAAAGAATATTCAGATTATATGAATAATTAATGTATTGCTTACGGAAAACGGTTATACATATCTGTACAGTGGTACGGACTTTATATAGCGTGTATAGTTTCTGTTATATATTAGAAAATGTTTTTGATATTGCAGAAAATAGTAGTAAATGTAAAACAAAACGGGGAGTCCCAAAACTTTGAAAAACAGGATCTAATTTTTTTATTATACATTTGTATTAATTTTCTATCCGATAAAGTGTATATTTAGAATAAATCAAACTGATAAATTTTGTATGTACGCTTTCTAACCTCTTCGAATAACGATTCCGATCGTTCTGAAGAGAATCCGGTTACAATATGAATCTCAATATATTTTAAATAATTGACTATACTTGTATTACGAATGACCAGTATTAATTTATCAATTGTTTTTTGTTTATTTTAATGTAAAAAGTAAAACTTCAAATTAAATCTCGTAAAATATACATTTTTATTTTAGGCCATTTAAATAGGAATCAAGTTTCGCTTAGATTATGATTATTCTTGTTTATATAAACTGTGACGTCTCACATGACGCTTACAATAAAAAATAATAAATCTTGAAATAATAACATTGTAATACAAAGAGTATGTAAATGCTCTTTGAAAATTTGATTAAATACGTATTTATATAATAATACAATAAATTAGTGTATACTCGCAGTAAAGAGGAACTATGTGTTTGTTATTAGAGACCTAAATTTCTTCGCAGGTTTTCGAAGAGAATAAGTCTTCCTTGATTGCAACATTTTTTTAGTTTTTCTGACTAGATGATGATTTACTCGTAACTTTTTAACGGGTATCCACCATTAAAAGTATCCACAGAGTTGATATTTATATTTTCGATTGCACAATATCCGTCGCCACCTCTAAGGTAACTGGTATAACTGAAAATAATTGAAATATAATAATATTTATTCGTTTTTGGAGAAACCATAACTAAGTGAAATAATTATAGAATATTATCTTACACATTAGAAAAAAATTCGGAAAATGAGGGCAAAGTAGTTGAAACGGTGTTGCCAATGTTATCATTTTCCTTTTCTGCTATTTTAATATCGTGGTAGTTATCATTTTCAATATATGTAAAGTCCGCGAAAGAAACAGATGATGGACGGGGAATGGGGCTGCTTTCTTCCGTTGGGGCGATTTGAACATTACAATTGAGAGCATGTTCGTATGCAAATTCTTCGTTGCAGTAAACGATTGCTTCCGTCTCTGCAACACTTGTCTCCTCATCTATAAGTAATTTGTTGCTGTTGTCTTCATTACATTTTGGAGCAGAGTCGTCAAAGCGCCAACCATCACCATCAACTAAATAGCCCAGACGTTGTAAGTAGTCAGCAACGGTTTTCTCTGATAGACTTATTATTTCGGCAATTTTTTTTGTCGTAAAATGTGGATTTCTTTCAATTAACATTTTCACTTTATCACTATCTGCCACTCCAGGACGACCAGTACGTTGTCCATCAACACAACTTGTGTCGCCCTTTCGAAATTTTGAAAACCAAATTTGTACTACTCGCTCACTAACAGCATCATTGCCATACACCGCACAAATCTTCCTTTTCGTTTCGGTAGCTGTTTTATTTTTGCGGAAATAGAAAAGCATCAAACAACGTAAATACTCCTTCTTATTTTCCATATTTGAATGACTTTGAATGACTGTAACTTAGCAATAGAAATTGTTTAATAATATTGAAGAACAATTGTGGCTGAGATGAAATACGCCAAGCAACTGATTTCCAAAAATTAAGATTTCCTTCTTGCTGGCTCGACGTTTCTCGATATCATTGTAATTAGTAAAAAGCGAGATTACTTTTTTTCTACCCTTATCTACATAATTCTGTCGGAGTTTATGTTTGGAGTTCACGAACACGTACCTGCTTTTGTGTCTCTTTTTTAAATCATAAACAATGCCCATGTGGTAAGATTGTGTAAAGCGCTACGGTGGAAGGGGTAGGTAAATTGTTAGGCAGGCAAGCTGGCAGGGGCACAATTATGTATGTAAAAAACACCCTTGCGAGAGTGGAGAGCAGTTTTTTGTAGTCATGCATGAGGGTTCGTCTTGGGTGAAACTTATGGAAACAACCCCGAATGACTTTAAATGATAAGCGGTGGTGACTTACACAGAATCCGCGAGTGTGGATGAGTATAAAAAATGCAAAAATCGCGATAATTAATTTCTTTTCAATACCTTCAAATAAATATTATATCGTGGAGGCTTCGAATGTATACCGACTGTGTGCATTCAAATGGAATCATAATACATACAAATAGAAAAGATGATATTTAGATACATTTTATTAATATAAGGAAAAGGACATAAAATACACCATTTCTATGCAGAAATTCAGAATTTTATCATAACTATCTTCAAATAATTTTTCAGCATGTATAAAATTGACATCCGTTTTAACTTCTAACTTTTGATCAAGATAATTTATTTACCAAAATATTGAAATAATATAAGTCCATGTAATTGTACAGATAGCTCGCAACCAAGTTGCTGATTATAACGTAAATAACTTCATTCTAAACTTAAAACTTTTAATCCAGAACTAAAAGGTGAAAATGTTTGCAACTATAAGCTTATTTAGTTTAATGATTAAATATCGGGTCAATGCTTAAAACTAATAGTTCAACTTAATATATATAATTAATGGTACTTACTAAATGATCTGTTTTTCAATACATCAAGTACGATAAATATTTGTTTGTGAATAATTTCCAAATTAGTATCTAGACCTGCCAGACTATACCAAAAGTCCAATTCTTCTAATATTGAAATTCGAATTCAGGATGCAAAAATTTAAATTTTGCTATTTCCAAGCAAAGCCAATTGTTCTTAGTTCGATTGTACGATTGCAGTTCACGATGTAAACTGTGTAATGCGGAGGATAGTTGTAAAATAATCTCATCCGATTTAGTATTCCCACCAGACGTGTTGAAATGTGTAGTATCATTTGAATATTGTGTGTCTACGCCGGAACTGAATCCAGAGCAACCTAACAACCCAGAAGATGTGGGATGTACAGAGAGATCGATTGGCTGAATTTCGGCTAACAGTAGTTCATTCTTAATCATACTACCCACATGATTGTAGTTCAAATCATATGACCTGCCATTCAGATCTTGACCAGCATCGTAACTGCTTACATCACTTGGACATGGGGTAACGGCACTTAAAGTTGTAGCGCGACCAAGTAAAGACTGATCGCTATTGTTTGCATAAAGTGGCACGTGCTCCTCAGGCTGGCTGAAAGCGAATGGAGACATCCCTATTTGTGTTCGTTGATTTATTGTCATGCAATTCATACCGCTATTGTTTGTTTTGTTGTACGTAGACATTACTTCACAATCCGTTACTTGTTCAATTGCGTCTATTGTGCTCTAGGGTAAAATGGCATGTGTTTATTTAATAAGCAAAATAATTCCTTGTCGATACTCACTGAAATGTTATTTGCATTCAAATTGTCGGATGTATCAGCATCGTTTGCATCGATCTCTTGATTTCTCTCTGCACAACTCATGTTTACAACGGTGTTTTGCTTGAGACTATAATTGAGTGGTTGCTCATTATAGGCTTCCATTAGTGTTATATCACGTGCTCTCTCAAAAGCAGGTGTAACCAGAAAGTGATCGATCACATTCCACTGTAAAAGTTAGAGTGAAAAAGGTAATATTTAATGTGAAATACTTCGAGATGCAAACAACAATAACAACAAAAAATATGTGAAAATCAGCGTCAGTAACGAAGCGCAAGATATTTTAACGGTTTGTTGTGCTCTAAATTATTGTCTCTAGTGAGTAGCATGGATTTTATTGCTGATATGTTCATAACGGATTCTTAATATTTTTTTTGTCCCTGAATTAAATAAGATTGTTTTTATAAAAATAACTTTGCTATGCGATATTTGTTAGACACATTTTTACAGTAGTCTAGTACACAAATTAATTATTTTTTAAATAATAAAACTGTTTGTTACCTTATGCAAGATGCTTGTGTTTCTTTCGGTTTTCTGTTGTTGCTGGTTTTGATTTTGTTGAATACGATTTTGTTGTTGTTGCTGTAGTTGATGCCGTTGAAACGCTGCTTTAATTTTAAATAATTCTGAAGTTGGTTGCACCGGGTATGTCAATCGCTGTTCATTCCGGGACACAGATGATTTGCTTCCATTTACGTTGGTATTGCGACGACGTGTAGCCTTACGATTGCGTAGAAATCGATCTCGTCTTTCTACCAATGCGTTAACTTTCATATCATATATTTTTCCCATTAAATCAGGATGACGCCTCTAAAATATTTTTAACAGTACAATAATTACTTCAATTTTGCACAATTAAATTATTTAAATTTTTTTTAATTGCTTTTCACCTTTATATGCATATGAAAATTGCCTGTGGATCGCACGCTACCACGATATACGCGATCTGGTGGACAATTGCAGCATTTCACAGTTACATTTTCACCGTCTTGAGTCTGTATCTCAAACAGCTCCCCGTTGAGTATGTAAGGAATATGAACATTCCGTGAGTTAGTATCGGGGACTATTGTTTTGTCAGGAGATATTGAAGTATCTGGAAATATTTTCTGCTTAGTTTGAGCAGAATTCCCAAAAGCGATCCCATCTGTGGTCGGGAGATTTGGTAAATCGAGCGCTGGTTTATTTACTTCCATTTCAAGCCTACCATAAAACCGTAATACGTCCACACTATTGATATTGGGGAAAATGTCAATTAGGCGAGGATCCATCGACCCGCACCAAACGAAATCTACTTACGGAATGATGTTTTGGCTATACTCCATATTTTGTACTTTCTGACCTTGAGTTGTTGAGAATTATTACACCTTATGCTCCAACAAAAATCTGCATGTAAGGAAACAACTGTTACTATTTAAGCCAAGCATAAGCTAACTTTACACACATAAGCACAAATTGCATCCAAAAGATATCGTTACATAAACGTTCTTGTTAGTGTATGCGATTTCAACCCCGACAACCTAAGCTTTTAATTTCTCTGATAATTTTCTAAATAAAAGCTAAAATATATAGAATAAAACCAATTAGAATTTAAAAAATTACGTTCGTTTTAGGAAGAAGTAAAAATATTTGATGTGGCCACTTGATATGAATAACTAGTGGGTTTATTCCGAGGAATTATTGTGGTTGGTTTTTGTCTGAGATATTTGTTTATTTATCTTTGCTTTTGACATTTAACACAATCTTACTAAAACACGCGTTTATGCAAATTTTAGTAAATAAATACTCACTTAGTAAACAAAAAGGGTATACTTTATTATTAAATTAAAAATGGCCACAACAGATGAGAAGGTGGATGCTAAACCAAATATATTGATAACAGGTAAAGGAATAAGTTGTTTCAAATTTATTACATATTTAACTTTTAGAATCCCTAATTTTTGGGCAATTTTATTTTAGGAACACCAGGTGCGGGAAAGTCATACCTGTGTGAAAGATTATCCGATCAATTAAAATTAAAGTGGTTGGATTGCTCTAAAGTTGCTAAGGAAAACAATTTTGTGGAAGAGTATGATGATGAGTACGATTGTCCCATTCTTGATGAAGACAAGGTATAAACAGAGTTACTATTACATATGTATATGTACTAATATACTTATATATATGTATATTTTAATCATCTTCAGCTAATGGACTACATGGAGCCATTTATGCAACAAGGTGGAAATATAGTTGAATATCATGGATGCGACTTCTTCCCCGAACGATGGTTTGAAGCGGTTTTTGTGGTCACATGTTCCAATACTATACTCTTTGATCGTCTGAAGGAACGTGGATACAATGAAAAGAAACTAAAATCAAATCTTGAATGTGAAATATTTGGAACAGTGCTAGAAGAGGCACGTGATTCATATAAACCAGATATTGTTGCCGAATTAAAAGGTGATACCAAACTAGATGCTGAACAAAGCTTGAAAACCATAAAAAATTGGTACCGAGCATGGAAGCGAAAATAAGGCATCATTGTACTTTCAAAATTATCTCTTATAGTGAATTGAAATTAAAAATTCGTGAATACAAAAAAAAAGCAAGAATAATTTGAAGTGTATTTTTTGTATATAGGTTGTAAATAAAGATATACATTTTTGTATCGAGACTATATGTGATACATAAAATATAGTTTTCAATTATTTAATGGATAAAGCAGTTTCGAATTTATTAAAAAAACTGTTGAGTGGCAGAATTTGAAAAATAGAGGATATGGAATAATTCAGCAGTATTCTTTATGTATTAAGTTAATATTTAGAATCCATTAACAATTTCTCTTAAATATTTAAAGATTATAAAATGAGTATATATATTTATGCTTATAATAACTTTTATAATTGTACTATCAGTAAAATAAAATATTACGTATAATATAACATATTTATATATAAATACATATTCCTTTACACATATATACCCACATGTATGCATATACAATATATATATGTATATGTACATATGTAAAATCGTGAAAAAATGAACGCTTAAATATAAAAGTCTTAAAATACACTGGCAGTAGTTATTCCGCTCTGGTCATCTTAAACCGCAATGGGCCATCAGGAGCATACATAAACGTCACAGCATAATCCAAAGGTTTGTGATTATATTCCAACTTGTAATTACGGAGTAGCTATAGAAAACAAAAGATACACATACAACTTTTTATTTACTAAATTAGAATTAATTAGTGCACATTTTGTGTTTCTCTTGGTTCAGAATAAAATTTTTAGACTGGAGAGTTTGGCATTGTCCTATCTACATTATATATTTGCAAAGTACTTTGTTTTGTCTTTATTGAAACAGTGGATACTTAAAAAATTACTTGTGGGGTAGTAACTAGTTAATATATACCTTGGCCAGCAGAATTTGCATTTCTAAGTCAGCGAAACGTCTACCCAAACACATTCGAGCTCCATATCCATATGGCAGAGATGCAAATGGATGTAAGTGGTCGCCGGTGCCTCCTTGGCTGGCTTTTAACCACCGTTCTGGTTTGAAAGTTGACGCATCAGAGACGAATTCTTCCATTTGACCGGTGACAAGTGTGGGAAAAACTGCTTGCACCTGTGTGTATCAAAATGTATGTCAAAATGAAAAACTATTAAAATATTGTACAAATCGGAGTTATTGACACGTTTCTTACTTACACCTTTCGGTATCCTGTAGCCACAGATTACCGTATCTTCCTGCAAAGTACGGCCGTTGCCGATTACTGTACTGTACATCCGAAAGACCTCTCTAATAAACGCTTTCAAATAATGCATTTGGTCCAGGCGTTGTATCGAAAGTTCGTCATCTGATTCGTGTAATACGCGTTTAAGCTCCTCACGCACTTTTTGTTGTTCGACTGGGCGCGTTGCAAGCTGATAGAGTATGGAGCACACTGCCATAGAAATCTGTTAAGGAATTTGTGTAGTGATTACTGAGAAATTCTAGATTCATGTTGACAGTTCATTACCGTGTCAATGCCTACTAAAATTAGATCCAAAGCCATAATGGTAGCCACCTTTTCATTCTTCTCCGCGAGTATAACTTTTTCCAGCAGAGAGGGTTCACCGTCACGACTTGGTCCTTGTTGTTTCAAACGTTCCGTTGCATTGCCAATATATTTCATGCATACTCTAATATGATTTTGAGTAAATATTTAAAAGATATTCCCAAATATTGAAACCGAACACATTCAATGAGTTACTTACTCTACAAAGAAATTCATATTTTTGACATAGTGCGTCCAAAGTGGCGTAGGGAAATAACGCCAGTATGGAGCCTTCAGCTCAAGCGTCGCCACATTGCGAAGTGCATATTTGGCAGCGTCGATAATCTGTTGTGGTTCAGAATCTGGCGAAAGCTTAGGCTCTAAGCAACCGAGTCTTGTATCGAGGGCAACGCGTCCGATGCCTGGGTGTGGATGGGAGGATTTTTGAATTGGAGTTAATTAAGTAAAGTTATATCTAAAACTCACACTCCAATGACCATTTGTGGATTTCATTGTCAAAATCCTCTGGCAGTTCTGAGTTCTCATCCAAAAGCAGTTCGCAGCGTTCTAAAAAGTCATTTGTGACCACTTCCAAAGGCTTCAAATAACGTCTTATGGTTGACAATTGCAGCACCGGCTTTTGTACACGCGACCGGAACTGTCGCCAAGGCTCGCCATGACTGTACCGAAAAACACAACAAAGAGAGGGGATTTTTTTCGATAAACACATTTGTTTCTTTTAAAATATCTACGCCTGTTTGTACGTACACACCCACTACTCCACCGATGTCCTCGAAGAAATCTTTCCGGATTTCACTTTTATATTTTACCAAACTCGGCATGGATGGTCTGAAAGGAGTCGTTCCTTCATTGCGATAGCACTGCATAGAAAACAAACACATATAGGTATAATAGGTAAATTTGGTTATGGGCGCTGAGCGAGTTCCCCCAGTTCAAGTTCCGAAATGGCATAGATAGCAATTATTATACCCACAACATGGCATATTAAGTTTCCCACGAAGTTTGTAACACCCAGAAGAAAAGGCAGAGACTCCATAAAGCATATATATAAATGATAACCATGACGAGCTGCGTCAATTTAATTATGTCCGTCTGTCTGTCTATTTATACGCGAACTACTCCCTCAGTTTTTGAGATACCGGAAACACAGATATCGGACCACTATAGAATATAGCTGCCATACAAACTGACCGATCAAAATTAAGATAAAGATCATTTTATACCCTTTAAAGCCAAACAAATGCACTTGTGAAGGCTATTATAGCTTCGGTGCAGTCGAAGTTAACGTGATTTCTTGTTTTTACATTATTAACAATGTGAAACTGATCAATGATGAGTAGAGTGCCAAAAAACAACAAACCTAAGTAAAACTCAAGTGATAGTCAAGTCTGCATTTGTTGTAAGTGTGACAAGTTGTCTGCTTGCATTACGGAAGAGAATACACATGGGTTCGACATGACGCCTTGTGATGACTTGAGGTAAATAAAAATATAATAAGATTTGAATGGCATAGAGCTCAACATTGTTGCGAGTAAATCCGTGAACACAAACATTCAGATGTACGAGTGTATTCGAGTGCGCTTGATGGCACTTTTGTTTTAAGAAATGTTTCTTTGAATTATCATAAATAATGAGGACACTCCCGCCATCTTCGCAGAATTGTGTTCACATTCTCAATTACTCACCTTTTCGATTTCGTCGGCATCGTATATGAACAGCAGATCCGGGCGGCCGATGAGGCCACTGAAGCGTACAATCCGGCCATAGCGTTCGTGCAATAGTGACGAGATCTTCGCGACGTCAGATATTGTGTATTGGCCGATTATGGGCATCATTCTGTGTATAAAAAAAGCAAAAAAACAAAAATGAGGATAAAGTAAAATATTTTAAATGAGTGAATGATAGGGTGAGTTTGTGATTTCGGTCTTTCGAAAAGCTGCGCACAGTTTGTATGAGTCTCACGCACTGCGCAACGCTTATTAGTGGCGCGTGCATAAATTTTATTGCTCAAATTTGCATTAATTGCACTTTGCATAGGTATAAAAAAGAAAAGTCTGCCTTACAAGTGTGGCATATGAGCCCGGACTAAGTGAGCTCTAAAATGCGTCAGAAGAAGGACGTTTCATTGAATAACGCTTTTTGTCAGAACTGAGGTTTAAGTATATAATGAGATATCAATAATATAATATAATATATTGAGATATCAACTGCATAAGATGGACTTTAGGTCGACAGAAAAGTGTAGCTGCTGTGGTCCTGCAGTAGAAATACTAGTTCAGGGGCAGTTCCAATGCTTTCTCTTGCAAATATTTCTGGGGTTTCTGCACACGTGAAGAGACCACCGACTCTTAAGTGTTCTCAGGTCTTAATAGAATATACTACCAGAAGAAAGTCTCGAAACAGAGGACGTTGTGAAGTTAAAGACCAATTGTACAAAATCGAAAATTAGTGGTCGAAGTGTTGGAGGTGTCGAAAAGTTGGAGGATCGCTCAATCACCTATACTATAGAAAAATAAGCAGGATTGATATAATTATCGCATTTGAATTTAGTTGAACTCCGTCAAAGGTTGAAGGTGCCATTCATTACTATACTCATTTGCATATTTGCACTTGTAAATACATGTGACTACCAGCTATCACGATCGGTAGCAATTACTTGCTCACTTTGCAAAAGAGTGTGAAATATTTTATTTGGTTGAGCAGCTCACACTTTATTTTTACCAAGAACTGCAAACAATTAACACTTGTAACCAACAACAATAAATTTCTGTTTGCGATTTTTCAAACAAGTGCAAATAACTACAAATATTTTATTGATGATTATTTGGTCACTACACATCTAAGTGCCTAAGTAAGCCTCTACCGTCAACTGAGCCTTGAATGTTGTGCGGGCATAAAAGTACACAATTATTGCTTTGATTCATCAGCAAGCGGTCAAGTTGATGGCTACTCAAAACCATAGAAACTCTTTGTTGTTGTCGTTGCTGCAATGTGCTGTGCAAGTGCATCTGTGTGAGTAATCGTGAATGTTTAGCGCCAAAAGGGCAAGCGGCGGGGCCCAACCAATTCTGAAAACCAGTCCCGGTGACAAGCTGCACATAAACACTGCCATAGTGGAGGGCAGCCAGCCTCCAACTAGCGGGATGCCGAAAAAGGTGTTAAAAAGCTTCATTTTCGTTGACCTTGAAATATATAATAGGAGTTAGATGGAAGCTAACTGTGCTAATGAATGTGAATGAGTATTGTTGTAGGCACATACTAATAAGCGAGTAGTGTTCAACAGGTTACATTCAAGTTGTTTACATTGTTGTCGTTGTTATTGTTACTTGTGCCCGAGTACCTATTATTGATTTTATCGCATCGCTGTCTTAGGAAGGTGACCGTATTCATTGATAAAACTGAAAGATTCTGCAGAAATTTGTTGCACTAATTGCAAAAATCGTGAAATAATGACTACGGATTTAAATTTTAACATTTTTCTGTTGCAAGTTGGCAATTGAATAGACAATTTTTGTTATCTAACATCCCGAAATTTCCATAATTTAAATATATGATACATAAGACTGAAACCTGAAGCCGAAGGAACTACGTTGATTGCCATCTGCACCGACCACTCTTGATAAAAATACAAGCGAGTCTAATATTTTCTCACTGATTAGTCGGAGACTTTTGAACCTGAAAACCGAAGTAATTTTTCCTGTCATCACCTATTTCTTAAAAAACCCTTTCAGTGGCGCGCTTATATATTATATAATACACACACATATTATAATTTTGATTATGGCAAACTTTTGATTTTAATTTTAGAAAACTATTCGAAGTATTTCGCCATTTTAAATTTTCAAAATATTTCGAAATCTATTAGAATGCTTGGCATTTTGATGAGATTATTCATTTACATATTCAAAATGCGAATTCCAAAATTATTGCGTTAACGGCAGAAACGAAAGACTACAAGCGAATTGAAAAACATAATCATTCTATACTCACACATACATATATGCATATACATATATGTACATATAGGCATACTAGAAGGGCAAAATGGCAATTGTTTGCTGCAAAAGTATATATTATGAAAACAAAAACAACACTAGAGAAACTACTTTTCAGAATTTTTACATTTCAAGTCAGCATATACTCTCATACGCTTATACGAAATACGGACGGAATATACCGGTATCTTGCCATGATTTTGCCATAATTTAGCATGCTGAATATCACTACGACATCACGTTGCCACGTTCCTGCGTTGTTGTTGGGTAACAACTGAAAACCGCTTACAACTTAAGTGCCCGCACAGATATTCTCACATAATTGCCATTCGTGCGGATGGTGAGGTGCGGTGTGTGTAATTTTCTACTATTAAAGAGTAAAGTAAATATAAATAAGGCCAAACGCTTGCACCGCAACAACGCCGCACGTCACGTCAGTTAAATGCGTAAACATAACAAAATTAAAGCCTTTACTGTGACGGGCGTAAGACTGCCCAACTTTACTAAATAATAGGAACTTTAACAGAAAAATACTTATAAATTTAATCAAGAATTATAAGACATGTAGAGAGAACTGTCGAAAATTCGAATACATATTCGATACTATTGACTGTCCTTGTAAATTTGGGAATTCTCAACCACTCACTACTAGTTGGTTAGCATAACAGTGGAGAGCAATTAACACCCCTTAAAAGATCGCCATGTTTATAAATGCTATTAATGTGCTACTGCAGCAGAACTCCACACATTTCGATGCTATTGCCATTTCCTGTCGGGTGCTTTGTTGGCGTGTTTGACGACTAAATTTTTACTACAAATAATTAAATATACTTGAAAAAAAGCACAATCATCGTATTTTTTGGATAATTTGGATAAAGACACAAAGCAAGTCTGCGCGCACGCTACTGCAAAAGAAACCCACATCATTACAAAAACTGCATACATATTTATTATAACAAAAAGGCAGGCAAGCGTTCAAACTTGTTGGCAAAAGTGTGCGCGATCACTTTTTGTATGAATGAAATGTTGAACGAAACAAATTTAGTTTCGATGGCATTCGAGCGCTGCGCAAATAAACTCAGATTTATGAAATATTTTAAAGCAATAAAAGACAAGACAAGAAGAGCAATAAACCGCCTTTGGAGTGCTTTGCCGGTTGGGGGTCAAGTTGAAGAGCTGTGCCACAAAGCGCGTCTGCCTGTTATTTGCGCTTATTATTACGTGTAATGTGGGCGCTAATGGCTCGATGGCATTGGTGAAGGCCGCTGTGGCAACATAGCGTATGCTCACATAAATATTATATATGTACAATTATATATATTACTAGGTAAATACCTATGTTTAGTTAATGGCTGAGGATGGCTTAAAAGACATTTAAGTGCGTGCGTAGAGGCTTGATTTCAAATAAATTTTGAAATTGCGCTTTGGAAATAAATTGCTGCTATAATAATATAATATAAATATATAACACTAATTTTTTATAAATTTCCTTTAATTTTACGCTGCACTGAATGATATATTGAGTGTGATTATCGAATAGAGAATAGAGTTGAGAATGATTTTTATTTAGTGATTTATAAACTGTACAAAGGTTTAAGAGATAGCAATAGCATTTTCTGTTGCAATTTAGTACAAACTCGAAACTCGGTTAATTTTTTTTTATTTCCCCAAGTATGGTTAAATAATGGAGGATGATGAATCAATGCGAAATACTAAATTTGTCAACAACTAGAGTCAAATTCTGTCAAAACACCAACAACATAGAAAATAAGGCATGTTTTTGTTGTTATGCAAATTGTGTAATTTTTATACTTGAACCCTGCTGAACTTACTTACTAAAAGCGGCTAATTGATGAACCGCGATCACAAAGTTAAAAAAAAGATAGAATATATTTCAATTGTTGATATAAGTTTTTCTGTGTAAATGTATGCTTAGACAAAGAAAAGCTCAACACCTCAAAGATCTGTTACAATAACATAAATAACTCGTATAAAGATATTGTACAAAATGTTCGCATAAATTAATGAAAAGTGTGTACACTTTAGTTTGATTGATCACACACCACAAACTACATCACACTTATTATTTACTATGTCTGTGTGTAATCACAAACAATTTCACATAACGGTAATGTTTCTGCGACGAATTGTACATTTAATTACTCACGCACACAGTCACACTCGGGATTGTTCGTTATGTGCACGAATACACTTTACAAATGATATAAAGCCCAGGCGAATTACACTTTGACTTCGGATTGTAAGAGAAGTGAAAGCAAGTTCGTCGCTTAAGTCTTTCGTTTTCATTATTTTGCAGTGCAAGTTGGCCAAAAATAAATAAATTAGCATTTCCCGGCACTTTCTTCCTACCAAACATTGTTTTTGATTTGAGAAATTAATAAAAATGACGCACACTAACTTACACTACACACAAAAAAAAAAAATATATATATATAAACATACGCGTGTGAATGTCAGCATGTAGCGAAGCATGAATGCACTAACCGCGCGCAGAAATTTCGGTGAATTGAGCGCAAGTGCCGCGTTAAAGCGAACTCAGAGTGCTTATCACTGCTACGCTACCGCAATTACAACGCTTTATTTGCTTTCGGTGAACAAAGCACTGCTTAAATATTTATATGTACATTACTCGAATGTAAGCAATGTGTTTTTGTGTGATGGCAATACTTACCGCCAGGTGTTGCCCAGTATGGGTATAGGCTTCGGACCGGGTACCTCGTTGTATGGCAGTGCATTTTGCCATTCGCTCGTCTCATGCACCGCAGTGACACTGCTGCCGCTTCTACCCGACATAGCCAAATGTGGACACGCTGTTTCGGGGCTGGTGGCCGTGTCCGCCGTCGCAGCAGCACTTGAGTTTTCGCGGACGTTATCCGAAGACACTGCTCCGGATTTGGTGGAAAATGGCGCTTGATCACCGATCTCGTTGAACTTGGCTCTTGCCCCAACGCTGCCACAAAAAACATTACTATTTACGCTAGCGCGCCACAAATTGACGGACAATCCGCGCATACCGCTCATAGTAAAAGCTCTCGCTTTGGCGGCTACCAATACTTGCTTCACTTGTTGCAATTACAAGTAAGTTTTAGTTTTTTTGGTCGGAAGTGAAGTTCTTGCTTCGATCCAAAAGCTGTCTCTATGCTTACAAAGTTGATTACTTGATGTGTGATTGCTGAGCACTCATTAAAATTCACAATTCGTCTGAATTAAACGTTCACATAACCGGACAAAGAGCAAGAGCGGTTGGGATAGAGCCAGCAGAAACATGAAATAAATTACAAATAAAATGTCTGCGGAGTAAATGTCAAAAGCGGAGAGGGAGGCACGAAGCAATTATGCACACTTCACAGCTACTAAAAACAGCAATTTGGCAAACAACGCACTGTGTCACTGTAACACTTGACCATTCAAAGTCACCACTATCGCTACATTAATTTAATTCCCATTACAACACTTCCCGTTTGCAAACAGCAATTTTTATGTTTTACTTTTTCTGCACGGCCAATGGCTCCGGTATCCACTCGCAATTCCCTTCCGATAATCCGCTGTGCCAAAACAGACGCCAATACCACAACACCACTTTTCGAACGCCTCTCGTCAACTGATTTGAATTTATTTAGCAATTTTTATTCATTGGCTTAATGAAGGCGCAGCTTTTTTACGTGATTCAAAAAGAGCTTTTATCGTAAAGCCGCTTTTAACGACTTTTATCGACGGCGGATTATTCTGGGCTTTGTTGAGCTGCCGAATTCGTGTTCCCCACCATGCCATGTTGCCGGATGTGAGCAAGTTTTAAATAACTCAAACAGATATATAACTATATAAGATATATAACTTAGAAGCAGACAAAATGTCGCTGAAACTTGTGTTTTCGTATTGATTATAAAACGAAGTCTGCTCAGCGAATGAAGCTACGCTGGCGCTTTAGTGGTGAATATTCTTTCTCTATTCATTAACATTATCTGGTATAACGGTAATGCGCTATCCAAATTCGGTATGCGTAATAACATCATGAGGACAATTCGTAGAGCGAACGCTACAATGAGTTGAGCATAAAGCAAATTATAGTTCGATGTTTAACAAGGTTTGGAACCGCAGTGTGCCTGTGAAAACCTACGTCTTAAAACTAGGTTTCTCGTATAGATCTCCAACCTAGTAAACTCTGTAACCCAAGGCGAGCATCTAGATGGTACTAATTTGGGTATGCAGACGTGTCCGGCATGGAGCTTCAGCAGTCATTGAAGGGTATTTAGTTTAGCAGTTAATTATTTAAATATATAAAATTATAGTTTTTCATTTTCCTTTTTAGTACAAACACCCCTTTTAGCGTATTTACCGATTGTTTGTTGAAATACTGCTGTTTCGAGTCAAGCATACACCCTTTCGAGAGAAGAACCGGAGAGTCTTTTTTGATTTGCGCTATAGGAATTTTTATAATATTTTATTACTTTACAAATATTTACCTTTAACTATTGTGCTAAATATGAAAACCATTAAAATTTTAATTGTATAAATTATATTTATTATACATTGTAATTTATCGTACTTTCTTTCACATTTAATTCACAATTTCTTTGCTTGCATTTACTTTGTATAAGTAGAATATTAATATTAATATTATTTAAAGTTATTATAGCTATGTATGCTTACTTAAAAAGGTAATATTTCTTCAATTTATATATGTGTTTAATCGAAACGTTTATTTTTATTACACAAAAATGCATTTTGTAATAAAAATCTTCACATACATATACTTATAAGAACTTCTCTTTGAATAATAAAAGTAACAAAAGTCTTCGTTTTGTTTGCAATTCACCATTCTACTAATTCCACCTATTCCTATGATTACGCTTAACACGAAGTAATACGTAAATATATTAGTTTATAGATAATTATATGATTTTCGAAGTAGAGAAATGCGTATGTATGTATGAGTGTGTGTATGATTCGTGCTTCTAAAAAGGGCTAGCATAGATATATGGAACTTAATTTGTATTCGAATAGGTATGGCAAATGGTTCTTCCTTTTACTTGATTTTAATTTAAAATTTTAACTTAATAGGACCTGCAACATTTCGCTGTAGGTTAGATCATTTTCCATTTGTTGTTTGCACAATGACTACGTTTTTTTTAATAAAGAACATTGTCAATCGTGTAAATGCGTTGGTCTGGTTTCCAGTAGAAGTTATACATTAGCTGAGTTTCGTGTAATATATATGTATGTATGTATTATTTTTACAAATGATATACATGCGTAATTATTAGTAACATTTAGTGCAACCATTTATGCATTTGTTAAATTCAAAAAACCTCGAAATTTGTTCAGCTCAACATAAGCCTTTTTAAATACATAAAAAGTATGTGACTTTAAAAACCTTTGATCAGAAATAATAAAATCTTATATGAAAAGTAGCTAGATTACAAAATTTTCATAGCATTGTGCATAAACCAATATATATATATATATACATAATTAAATAATATAAATAGTTCTAATTTTTAATACGAAACGCTTTCCCTATTGTTTAATTTTATAGGATTGAGGTTTTTTATAAACGCTCCGCTATGCATTGCGGTAAGTAGTTTTGTAGGCATTTTATAATAATGTTTCCAAAATAAACTATTTGTTTTGGAAAAATAGCTTAGAGGAGAAGCAGGAGTGGAGACTTCCGCATTATATTTGAACACAAGTTTTTTGAAAAGTAAAATAAAATGTTATTAAAAGCTTCATACTAAACAAATTATAAAAATTGTGCTCTTCGTATATTAAGGTTTTTTATGAGCAGTGAAATGGCACTTTCTGTAGGGAAATGCAAGAAAACTAAAGCAAAAGACTCAGTTTGGATGACGTAGAAACAAAAACAGTTAGTTACACTATAGTGAGTGGAATAGTATTAATAAAACTGAACATCCAGTTGTGTTAAAATTTTTGTAGTAAAACTTTTGTTTACAAGAACACGATATTTTCATATAAATGCATGTTTGTCACTTTAAATCTAGATTAGTTTTTATTTTTAAGAAGATTTCAATAGCAAGTAGATGCATATAGCGGCAAGTAATTTCAGTTGTGCATATTTAAATATAAAGTGCAAATACATATACACATAATCTGAGATAGTTAGATGTACTTTCATAAGTTTAACATGTGTATATAACAATATATATGCAGTAACCTCATATCCTGGCAGTATTACCCGTTATTGTAACTATGAATGCAATGCAAATTTGCGCTATAGCTTTCATGGCTAGATTACTGTGGCCTCGCGTCATAATGTTATTAACGCCCGAATTCTATGGCACTGGGCGGACTTGAATTCAAAACCAACAACTGTTGCAGCTAAACACTTTCAAACAAAATTACAATAACCGTATTCGTAGTGAATGTTATAGCGCGCAAAATTAAATGCAAGTCACAAATGTGGCGTGGACTATCGCAACATATGTTAGCTCATACTACTTTACGGCAGAATATAATTCTTTAGTGTATATTAATGTATACATACATAGGAGTATGTAAACTTGCATACGAGTACATGTTAACATTTTAAGGTTTCACATCAATTTGCTCAGGACTATCTTCTGCGTATGGTTCAACAATTTTCAATATTTAAATTATTTGTAATTTTTTAATTTTAATTCAAATATTTCAGCTTCGTTATCGTTATCGTTTTCGAATTCAGTTTCCTTATTGATATAGCCGTATCTGGTATTATTCGTATTACTTTTACTCAAAAACTTTAATCTTTCATTCACTTGCTTAATCGGTAAAATGTCGTTAAATACATATATGTACATACATATATGACAATGCTCTTACATAGAATGGTTATGTACATGTCCCGAATTGTTATATATATTTATAGAAATTATAACAAAATCAAAAGCACTCTAAAAACACATTTTGGAAATTTACTTAAACAGCACTTAAACTTAAACTTAGAATTCAATTTATTCTTAATCGTTTATCATGACTTCCCTTAACGTCTGTATAAAAATCCAATTTTACTTTACTTACACCAAAATATCGATATTAAATATGTGTACGAATACACTAGCTCTTAAAATTTAAATATTAATAATGGCAAATAATTAGAATTAGCAGCCAAATACGTCCAAATTCATTTAGCGCATATTCTATAGACAACTAAAAATTTAGCACGAAACCAACGACAGAAAAATGTTAATGTTTTCATTTGTTTGCTTTCATTTTGATTCGCTAAGTTTATCGAGGTTTTTGTTGTTTTTCGTTCTAATTTTTTTTTTGTTTTTGAAAACCTTTCATTCGTCATTCAATACTTTTTCCGTTTCTGTTGGTTGCGCATTTGTTAATTTTCTTATCTGAAGCACTTTCGTCCTATATTCGTTTACTGTTAAACTTCGAATTCATTCGCCGTTATTGCACTCAAGTCCTTCATGAGTCCTTCTAGATTGGCCATTTCTTGGTTCAGCTCTTCTGTTGAGGTGCTTGGCGCTAATCGTTGTATTTCATCGTTGGAGTGTGCCACAGATGAGCCGCCTTGTAATCGATTCGTGGGCGTGGCAGCTGAGAAGGAGGGCTTCTTGTAGGGCGATTGATTTTGTGGACGTATTGTTACGGCAGGTGCTGAAACATATGTGTGTAGAACAAATATTAAAATTGATGACAGTGCAATCTGTCCACAAACAATAATTTTTACATTAAATTTGCTATACATTATCTTGTTACTTACTGTGTTTGTTGATGGGTGTCGCAGCCCCCGTTGGTGGTGGACCTGGCACACTAAAACTCTTCAATGGATGACCACGTTTTGCACTCTCGATAGTTGAAACACCACCGTTGTTTGTGGGGCCACCACCTGGGCCCGCACCGCCGACACCATTCTGGTAACCAGGATTGCTGAAACGAATAATACATTTATTACATTATCTCTTATGAATTTCGAGTCAGAATTTATTATTTATATTTAAAAATATCTATGAGGTAGTGAGAGAACAATGAGAATCTTTTCGGCATTTTGGAAATATTATAATGTAGATCATTTCCATCACTCTGTATACCATGAGTTTTTCGCCGTTTGCCAACATTATCTGGTTTAAAACCAGAGAGATACGAAAATCAATTATTTAATTATTTTATTAAAGATTATGTAACTATTAATGAAAAATAGATATGTAGGAATCATTTTTTTGATTTAGTATTTTCCTCTATTTCCAAGTATTTTAATTGAACTTTGCAAAATATTTTCATCTCCGCTACTTCCATAATAATATTTTAGCAGTCATTAATATTATCGTTTAAGACACACACCCACAGATGTCATTGATGAAATTTCGTCGACTTATGAAAACTTATATGCTCACTTTTGATTAAAAATATATACATATGTTTTTGATGAATCACTTTATTACCGATTGCCTGCGACCTCGGTATAATAACAAGTATAGGGTTGATGAAACACAATAACATTTTAGGATAATAAAAGATGTTTACAACATTAATTTTGCGCAAAATTTGGTTCTCTCTCCATCCGCATTGTTCTGACGACGTCAACCATATTATGGTAATCCTCAGAAGCCGCCTTTACAGATGTTCTTCATGCGTGGGCAGCGGTGGTAACAGAAACTTACATTCAACTGGCATTTTGCGTTTCTTTCGTTTACGTGCTGTTAAGTAGGAACGCCTTCGCCGCAGTCTCTTCAGTTTTCGCTGCTCCATCGCTATGCTCCGATAAGGCTTCTTTTGTTCGTCCGTCATTGAATTCCATAAACGACCTGCCGCCTTGGCGATGCGAGCACTTACGCGCGGAGACATCGAACCACAATTTAACTGCATTAATTCGCCACCGTTGGCCTTCATACGAACCTCGGCTAGGAAATTGAAAAATGGATTACGGGAAGCCGATGGTTCCAAATGTCGTATGAGTTCTCGATGTAGGGTGCTTGGACTGAACGTGACACGACGTGTCTTCCGACGCGTCGGTCGCACCAGTGATGTGAATACTTCGCACATTTTGTCCCATATGGATGGCATAACTCGATTATCTCTCCGGATGGATGTATGACAAAATCGGAAACCAATTGAATTCTTTGTTTACAAGACGTACAAACAAAAATCAAAATATAAATATTTTAGTTTTTACTGAAATTTCGTCGGCTAATGAAACTTTTTATTTCTTTAGACGTTAAAATAAAATTGAAATGTTTTTAATGAATTGCTTTGCCCCTCTTGTGGAATAACAAGGTAACGTAAGCAGAGCAGTATAGAAATGTTACCAGACTATAAAATCTTTATGAGATTGGAGACAATATCAACATTAAATTTGCACACAATTTAGATATCCGCACCATCCGCACTGTCCGGAAGGCGTCAACAACACAATCGCAATCCTCAGAAGCCACATTTATAGATGTTCTTGATGGGTGGGCTGAGGCGGTAAAAGAAATTTACACTCTACTGGCGTTTTGCGTTCCCTTCGCCTGCGTGCAGATAAGTAGGAACGCCTTCGCCGCAGCCTTTTCAGTTTTCGCTGCTCCATTGCAATGCTCCGATATGGTTGCTTTTGTTCATCACTCATAGAATTCCATAAACGGCCTGCTGTCTTGGCGATGCGAGCACTTTCCCGCGGCGACATCGAACCACAGCCAGGGTGCATTAATTCCCCACCATTGGCTTTCATACGCACTTCGGCTAGGAAGTTGAAAAACGGATTAGTGGAAGCCGATAGTTTGGTGTGTCGAATGATTTCACGATGTAGGGTGCTTGGACTGAATGTGACTCGGGTCTTGCGACGCGTCGGCCGAACCAGCAACGTGAATACTTCACACATTTTGTCCCATATGGCTGACATGGCTCCACTCACTCACAGGATGGAAGGATGGGCAACAAAAACGGGAAACAATATAATTTCTTTGTTTACAAGACGTACAAACAAAAATCAAAATATAAATATTGTATTTTTTACTGAAATTTGGTCGGCTTATGAAAATTTTTATTTTTCTTTAAACATATAAATATAACTGAAATGTTTTTCATAAATCACTTTGGTCCCGGTCTGCCGTCATTCCGTAATCAAGGTGTATTCAATAAGGTGGGATTGACAACCAGGTGAGCTTCACTTTTAACTTGGTTTTGCACCAGACAGTTTCGCAAAGACAAAAGCAATAAACTCACACGCTTTTTAATCACATTATTTTCATTGGCGCGTACTTTGATTTTCTAAAGCAATAAATGTTATAAAGCGGTTTAACTTAAGCGGTCAATACACTGATATGTCGCCGTAATTTGGGGAAAAGGAGCAATATGTAAGTCGTATTTTGCGAAATACCAAGTTAATTAACTTAATAAGATAATAGTGTCACTTTGAAAAAGTTTTTCAAAGATTTATTATCACTTATGACTTACCAGAAATTACCCTCATAACCGTAAGGATGTTCGGGCGTTTGTGCCAAAGAACCCGGTTGCTGCGTCAGACTCTGTTGCGAGTGCCCCGTGTCGACAGTCATATGCGAACGATTGGCGGAAATGTTATACTGGGTGCGCGGATACTGTGGCCGTTCCATTGTAGAATTCATTGAAGTGGCTAGAGCGCGAATAATAAGATATATTTAAGTTTATAACAAAGCTATTGGTTACGTTTATAAGCAACGTACTCATATAACCGGGTACATAGGATCGTTTGTCGAGCGAATTGGTAACCGGCACTGGCGTATCGACATCGTATTCATGCACCACAGAACGTGGCAATGTTAAGGCACCGCTACTCGAAGCACCGTCGCTACAAACTAAAAGAATTCATTTTATAGTTTTTCAATGAGCATATGAATATAGATAGTCTTTTTTACTTACCAGGTGTGGTGCTGTGAATATTCTTATCAATATTCTTTAACTCCATTTGATCGTGATGTATCCATAGGTCTGGCGGCTTTGGAACTCCAACATTTTGATAGCTACTTGAAAAATATGATGTGTAAAATTAAACAATTTCCTTAAAAGATATTCCCAATTAAGAAAAATATTGCACTCACTCTTCGTACCTCTTCTTGTTATGATCAGGTGTGGATTGGGGCTTTCGTCGGCACACTGCCACCATGATGGCCACAAAAATCATTACTATAAGTGCAACCGCACCTGCTACAGAGTATATGATGATCTCATTACTGATGCCCTTGGCAATCGGTTTTGGTTCCTGCATCACAACCGCTGCCGGAGTCGTGTAGGCCACAAGCGCTGAGAAAGGCGCATTACTGGCGCCTTTTCCCACCCGTGCTTGTACTTTGAAGTAATACGTTGTGTACGGTTTCAAATTAGGCAACATCATCATAGTCTCGTCCCCAGCGAATGCCTCGATGGACCAGTCGCGATCTCGTTTCGTTGTATCGGTTGTGTAATAAATGTTGTAGCCGGTTATTTGACCAAGGCTGTGTTTCGGTGGCAGCCATTGCAAAATGACAGTTTGTGGATTTTGTTCATCAGGTCGAACAGTGAGCTCACGTGGTGGTGTAATTGGTACATTTTGATATGTACTGTTCAACACTGACATGGACCAAGCCGACTCTCGACGTCCCTTCACTACCTTAACAGCGAACTCATACTGTGTGTTTGGACGCAGATCATTGATCATGCAATTGAGGTCGGTCGTGTTATGATATCGAAAACGACTAGAGCCCGAAATGCCAAAGCGAACGGTGTAGTGACGATTATCGATGACATGTTGATTTTTACTCAGCGTAGTATCTATCCAGTACACGACAATGGATGAGCTGGACATGGTGATGGCGCGTAGGCCGACTGGCACTTCAAGCGGCACGGGTATGTCGACCGGTTCCTCGTCACGTGTCTTAATGTTGTCATAAATTGGTTGACCGTCACCTTTACTGTTGCGTGCACGCAACGAAACCACATATTCCGTATTTGACTCCAACTTTTTCAATACATAATAGCGTTCGGATTCTTTTAACTCAATAATGTTTTCATCGGGTATTCCACGACCCCAGCCCAAAACATAACTTCGAATCTTGATTTCATGCTGTTGTGGCGGACCCCAGTGCAAAGCGATGTTATCACCACCCGGATGTATGCCGATCCAAACCGGTTTACCAGGCACCTGTGTTTCATCCAGATCATTTTCCAAAGTCATAACGCGATTCCATTCTGTGAACGGGCCTGAGCCATTCACTGTCATAGCGGCAATTTTTATTTGATACTCTGAGTGTCGCTCAAGTCCTTTCAATTCGAAGTACCGTATATTTGCGGGTGTACTTTTCACTTGTGGTGTGTCTTTAAGTTTACGATAACGAATCTTATAGCCGGTGATTTGACCATTTCGCTCTTCCTCGGCTGGAGGCTCCCAGTGCACTGTGACGGACTGAAATAGGGAAACATAACACACGTGAAAACAAAGGTCTTACAAATACATTTTCAAAACCCAAGTTTATTAGGATCAATGAAATATTTATATTGCAAGCTTACTGTCGAACTCGTTACTTCAAGTGTCACATTATTTGGGGGCTCAGTTGGTGTGGAGGAGTAAGTTTTGACCTTTATTTCATTCGACGGATCGCCCATGCCGTTCTTATTGAAAGGTACCACGCTAATAGTGTAATCGGTATATGGACGAAGCTCCGAGATCACAGCATTTAGAGAGGTGCTATCATGATACATCTCAGCACCACTGTCATTCTGTAGAATACATACAACAATATTTCTTAAAACTCAACTACATGGTGACTTTTTACGGGTACGAACCTCGGAATAGTAAATTCGGTATTTCAAAATCTCTCCATTGGTCACGGTTGGAGAATCCCATTTTACAAAAATCTCTCTTTCGCTAGTCGCCAGTCCTTCGACGTTGCGTGGTGGACCAGCAATATTCTCCTCTGGTTGAGTGCGCACCTCTAATACCTAATAAAGTTCAGCAAAACTTATTTTCATGCAGTTTCTAAGTAAATAAGTTTTCATTTATACGAGTTTATACCTCTGAAGAATCACCGGGTCCAAAGTTCGTATTTGCCACCACACGGAACTGATAAGTTTTTCCAGGCAGCAAATTTTGGATATTCACCTGTTGGTCATCGTGTGATTTGGTTACGATTTTCTGTTCCCTGCATATAGAGAAGGCGAAATCATTTTAGCATTAACAAAATTGGTTCGAAGCAACACTAGATATGCATAGACTCAAGATAGTTTTTCATTAAAAGATTGTCGAGTTTTTAGCCAATTTAATTTTCCAGCCATTTCCAGAACTATTAGCTTGATGTCTACATTATTGGACTTAAATTGCTTCCACGCAAGTGATTATTTATTTGTCGCCTACCCATTAAAATTTCCGTTAGAAGCAAGACAGACAAAGACCGCAGTGTCTGTTTCAGTGTACGCTTGACTAGATTCGGCGCATTCATATGCTTTTAATATGACAAAGTAGAGGAAGAATGCAAAGTGATTGCGGCCTAATGAAGGACAGAGAAGAGGGAGCGGCAAATTGCTTTTGCCAAAACAAGGAAATGCTACTTGGCAAATTCGTAGAAGATGTTTTTAGATGAAGTTATTGAATTTACGGTCGGCGAATAAAAGCCGGCAGAGGCGGGCTGATTTCGAACGACTTCCGCTGCTGTCGCCTAAGTGAGGTTATAGTTGGCTCCCTCAAAAGGATAATGGATAAAAAAAAGTGGTAGCGATGGAAGTGAAACAGCGTTGGCAATTTGATTTTCATTTCTGCCTCAGAAATTAAACGAAAGACAATAAGCTTTTCTGTTTGCCAGGTGGTGTTTAAGTGGCCTTTTTGAATTACATAAGTACTATGAGAGAAGTCAGCTGTACTTTAATGGCGGATATTAGTTTCTACACGTAAATATAATATAATATATTGCGGAAATTAATGTACTGTACTTTTCCTTTTTGTATATAACAATCAATAATATTTGAACAATATAAAACTACTTTTTAAGAAAGCAAGTCGACTCATACTCTTTTAATCGAGTATACAAGTTTCCCTAACTCATTTAACACAAGTGCTAAAGTGAATGGCCGATAGTCTAATGAAGGGCGTGCTATTGTTTGACAAAATTGCTCTGTTTCACTTACCGTTCGCTGTTGCTCATTTTATAAAATACTGTGTAGGACACCACTTCGACAGGGTTCTTCTTCGGCTCCATCCAACTGAGTGTTACGAAACGTGGTTTTACAATTTGCGCAACCAAGTCGTGTGGCGGTCCTGGCAAACGGCTCATCAAAGCACCATGAATATGTGTAACTCCACCACCGGACTGTGGAATGTCCACACCTCCGTCTACACTCCCAACGCCAGTTATGCCAATGTTGCCTTCGAGTCCATCTAAATCTGAGGATAAGTAGGAGGAACTTGATGATGCCGCTTGTGAATTGGATGTGGCTGAGGATAATTGTTTCTTATTTTTATTCTTCCAAGAGTTCAGTACTTTATTGGGATCGTCACCGTGATTGTACGCATCAATGAATTCCTGCTTGTCATTTAAATCGTCATATTCGTCTTCGTCCTCATTGTCTTCGTCATCGTTGTTGCCGTCATCTACGTCATCACCTACATTGAACTCGTGTGTGCTTGTGGGTAGCTCCATTGAACTGTCCGTATCTTCCATGTCTAATTGTTCTAAGTCTTTCAGTGAGGCAAATTCACCATAGCCATTGTCATTTTGCGGTCTCTCAGGTCGTGGTAATTTTCTGCCTCTCTGTGAGAGTAAACTATCCAGCGCGCTTTTGGAGAGACTACGTGTCGATCCCATTGAATTGTCAATGGCATCACCGAATGTGTCAAAAGGATCAATCGCCTTAGATCCGCCCCCCTTTCGTCGTCGCATAGGCGAAGCTGACGGCAGTAATGGAGATTTGGGTGTTTGGGAAGGGTTGTATTTTTTGGATTTGCCTTTAGGGATTGGGATAGGAAGGATGTTGGTGGGAATGTGCATATGATGTGTTAGAAATGCAAATGCGTGTCATAATATGAAGTGGTGAAAAGAAAATGGGAAATAAAAAACAAACATTGAAAAATAAATTAATTTAAAAAAGTTGAAAAGAAATTTTTATAAATATTTTTCAATTTACACATTTATGAAATAAAACAAAATACTTAACTAGCAGTGCGAATTTACCGACCAATAAAGAACACATTTAAAGCATATTATTTTTTTTAAACTTATGCAAAAGTAATAAGCAAGCAAAAAACTAAATGAAATTAATATAAAATACGTTTTGCTATGAGCGGAGGGTTACAAAAATAAAATTATGATACTTCTAACTTGTGGATGATTTTTTAATGCCTGATTTCTATATTCCTTAATACTTTCATTATTTTAATACTAGGAAAAAAATTTTTTGTTAAATTGATCAAAATACAAAAGAACAGTTTTGGAAATGATTCAAAGACGTTTCAACTTGATGAGAATTCCGTCCGGTCCACGAGTTTTTAAAATCTCTTACGATGGGAAAAATTATTTTAGAATCTAAAGTTACCGAAAATTAATTAAAAAGAGAATCAAAACCTTCAAGAAAACGAACCACTCTGAGGAAAAACTGATAGTAAAGCTGCTATAAAAATATTTTAAATTACGTTGAACCATTTAAATTTCCTTGATATCTGAAATCCTGAACTTTTGAGGCCAGTAATTGGACAGCCAGCCAATTATAATACTATTGACTCCTATTTCAGATATGCGCACTACAAAAGACTTCTACAGTGCTGGTAAATTTTAAGCTTTGGGATAAAGGCTTTTGGTCAAACCTCATAAAATAGTTGAAACGAAAGAAACACATTTATTAAATAATAATTTGTATTTTTGGAAGGTTGTCGCTTACAGGGATGATTAGTAGTCTTGCTAATTTAGTAACGTTATTGTTATTTAAGCCAGTTGCGTTTACGTCCAATTCACAGAGCTCTTACTCTTTTAACACAAAAAGCATAATTTTGTTATCTAAAAGCGCTTCGAAACTTTACATTAGTGTGACCATAACGGAGAAGTACTGTTAGTTCATACATATATACAAGAATATTAACTGTAAAGATAAATAACTCATTTTATTCTCACCCGTTTGAGCAACGCGCAATCGTGCCGCCGCTTGAACACTACCAGCCGGATTGGTGCCAACACATTGGAACATACCGGCATCGGATTGTAGCAGGCCGAAAATGCGTAGATTGTGGCCACCCACTAGTTGCATATACGTGTTGGGCGTGATCACATCACCGTTCTTCAACCATTGAATTAGCGGCTTTGGTTTACCGCGTATCGCGCATTCCAGCTCTAACTCCTCTTTTTCGTGCGCGGTCTTGTCTTTTGGGCTCTTGATGAACTTGGGCGGCACCAGCACCTGTACGGTGGCCTGCGCGTCAAGTGAATCGACTGTATTGCTGGCACGACACTGATAGTTCCCGGAGTCTATGTCTTCCGCAGAAGAAATTTGTAGTGAGCCCGTGCCGATGATCGAGAATGGCGAGTCAAGATCGCTAAGATCGAGCTCCGCGCCGTCGCGCAACCATTTAATTTGCGGTTTAGGAACACCATTCGCCACACAATCCAAAGTGACACTGTCACCCTCTTTCACGGTTTTCGGCGAAGGTCCCACAAGAAATGAGGGCGCAACCAAACTTTCACTGCCCGGATCTGTGGGCTTTTTGATATTCAAGTTGGTTTTGCTGCTTAAACGAGATATGCTGCCAGAGGTCACATTACACTGGTAAGCGCCGCGATCACCAATGCCGACTTCGTCTATTTCTAAGGCGCCATTCGGTAGCACGACCATGCGCAATTTATCCACCACAAGCGGCATGTCATCCTTTAGCCATTGTACCACGTGCTTAATACCCGGCTGAACTTGACCCACCATGCATCGAAAATACGCCGTTTGGCCGGGTAATAAATATGTTTCGATAAAGTCTTGATTTAGATCTGACAACCGTGCTATGGACACGACAGCCGCACGACTAACAATTGTACCAATGCCTTCAGCGCTGAGCAAACACTGATAGGAGCCGGTCAAACCGCGATTTTCCTCCACGGAGCTTATATATAATGAACCGTTACTCAGTTGATTGCGAAATGTGTCGCCGACGATGCCCAAGTCCTGCCCATCTGGCCCCCGCCAACGTATAATTGGTTGTATTTTGCCAGACTTGCCGTTTTGTGTCACGCCACCACATTGAAGCAGCACCGAATGTCCTTCCGGCACTACAACATCCTGAGGTTCAATTTTGAAGGTGAGCGCTGAAAAAACGAAAGAAACACAAAAAGAAATAAAATGCATATTCATTGACAAGATCTAACAGTGAATGAATTGTGCAGTAAAAGTAAAGGAAACACAAAGAAAACGCAAGAATCATTTGCACATATGCTAGCAGCACAATCATGATTTATTAATGACTTTATTCACTCACATAGGCGTGCATTCGAGGGGGAATCGGCGAAGGAACGAACGTAATGGCTGCCTGCGGCTTCATTATACCACTCGATGCGTGCCGGTGATAGGGTAGACTACCCTCTGGCGGACACTTGGGTACATACATGTATATACAATAATATATACACATGTACGTAGCGTTATATAGACGCATATGCAACAGAGAATTCTACAGATGTTTTGCACACAAAAGAAACCCTGACCCCAATTTTTGCATTCAAGTAATCCTGTTTCAAGCCCACATTGTAGAGTGGGCCGGGGAGTGCAATTCACTTGATTGCGAGGTGGCGGTAGCAGTTCTTCGGCTGCATATTATCTACGGGGCGAGGCGAACTGCCAAGCATGTAAACATGATGAAACAATTGGTGCAACACAGGCATGAGAGCAGCTGATGCACATACCTGCCAGGGTGTGGAGACTTGCGTGGAGTAGGAGCTGCCACTTTCGCAGATATTTGCAAGTCCTTAACACATTGTTGGCCTTTGTTAGCGTAGGGTTGTTTTGTTTCAACGCCCGAAGGATGATTGCAGTTGACATATTTTCCGAGTGTTTCCTATAAAGAGCGCCCAGATCTCATTTGTTTTTGAACTTAACAATATTGCCCCACCAGGACAAGTTCAGCTGATTTACCTTTAAAAAAAAAGCTGCAGAACTTTAATCAGACAGTTGTGAATTTGCTTAAGTATGATATTCGGCAGGTCGGTATCTCTGCGGGTGAGTCTAAAATTTTACTCAATGGCAAAATGCGTGCATTGAGATATGCAGATATTCCTAATGGGTATAACATACATATATATTTGTAAATTACATATTGCTGAACTTTGCAACCCCTTCAGAGCGACCTTATACTTCTCGTTGGGCCCGCACTCAGCTGAGAGTGCAACGCAACACTTTACATTTAAATTAGCCGCACTTGCGTTACACGAATGAGGATGCACAAGGAATGGCGATCTCATACTCGTGAAAATGCTCAGCGTCAACAATGATAATGTTAAGCAGATTGTTTGAATAAGCTGCAGACAAAGGCGAGTAACGGTTATTCATACCACTATCGCCACTGGCCACTTTTCATTAAAGCCGTTAATTTAAAACTGTTGATCCCGACGATTACGCCCTGGCTTGCAACTTAACGGTAAAAGGGGATTTTCGCTTAATTAATGATATGATGACGTGGTGTAAGAAGCAGGACATTGAGGGGTTTTGATTATGCTCTGGAAAAATTGGGGTTGCCAAGATTTCAAGTGTGAATGGTTTCGTGTGAATATCAAATCAAATCAAGAAGTATCTACAGATTTAAACATAACCATATGCTTGCTTGATGCAATGGAAGTGGATACAAGATTTAAAAAATAATTATTTAAAATATAATCCATTATTAACTAAAGCAAAACACAACAACCACTGCTACACATATATATGTAGGAGTATGTTTCCTGCAAAGCTTCCCATTAAGAGATTTAAATACTGGGTTTTAATCTTCTGTGTGTTGTTGAATTTATGGAACGTTTATTTTTTGTAAATTAGGATATGTAAAGAACTCAAGTTAAATCTAGTAAGAGACTTGGAACACGAATACAGCTGGCAATGTAGGCTCAGTGTTAAAAGCAAGTATCTTTAACAAAGAATTGAAATAAATTATTTCAAACCACAAATTATTTTATTTGTCCCTGCAACTCTAACCTTAATTCTGGGTTACATTTGATGTCAGATGTCTGTAAATACTTTAAATAAATAAGGTTTTCCTTTATTCGTTCGGAAGTCTAGCAGAGCTTAGAAAGCTTACAACAGATACGATGTAGAACTTTAATTGTAGGATATATACAGGTTGGTTGAAAAGTTTCTGCGCTCGAAATGAAAGTATATTGTTTTTGGTACGATAAATATTTTTTTATTCAATATAATCTCCCTTAACTTCAATACACTTATTTCTATGATCCTACAATAATTTTATGCCATCCCTATAATGGCTTTCTGGAAGAACTGCAAAATACCCGTCTACGGCTGCAATAGCTTCTTCATCTGACGAAAAACGCTTTCCACGAAGGAATTGTCTCAGGTTTCTGAAGAGATAGTAGTTGCTGGGAGCCAAATCTGGTGAATACGGTGGATGCTCAAGCAATGCGTACTTTAATTCGTTGAATTTTGTCATTGTTAAAACACCTTTGTGAGCGGTGCATTGTCTTGATGGAAAATAATTTTTTTGTGCTGCAAACCAAAAGGCTGCAATAGTATTCAGTGTTGATTGTTTTAATTTTTACTTAAACCGCTCCAAATTATGCTGAGAAATTTGTTTTCGATCCATTTTTGTTGAATTGTTAACGTATCACTAACCAAACAGCTTTCTCATATGTAATTCTTCATGTAAAATATGAAATACTCGTTCGTCTGAGATGTCTATAGCATTAGCAATTTCACGCTTAATCAAATTTGGATCTTCACTAACAATATTATGAAATTGCTTAATGATTTCTGGTGTGGTTCCGGTTTTTGGTCGTCCTTCGCGTGGATCGTCTTCAAGCTTAGTACGACCACGTTTAAATTCACAAGCCCAAAATTCAACGGTGCATTTTGAAGGTGAGAACTCCTTATATACTTCTAACAATTGTTTATAAATTTCCTCTGCTTTTAAACCTTTCGAAACAAAGAATCTAATCATTGCGCGATATTCAATTTTTCCATATTAATAAAAATAATTTGACACGTCAACTTCAAATGGCTTGTAAACAAAGAATTATTTGACAGAATGACTTGCAACTTTGCATGTGTTCACACGATAAATATACCCACTTGAGAAAAAAAATTTGGAGCTAGTAGTGCTATTACTTGGTGAGAGCAGAAACTTGAAAACCAACCTGTATAATATATAATTAAATTATAATCAATTGAAGTCAAACTATTATTTTTTATGTATATATGTATATAATTGCTATTCGAAAAATATTTCTCCATGCCTACTGTTTGTTATTTCTCTTATGCAAATTCATCAAAGTGTTACTTGAGACCACATTCAAAAACAAACAGTGATGCACTCTAAAAGCCTTCAATATTTTAAATAACGCAAGTCTATGCATCCGATGCGATCAACTTTAAGCTCATTGCATATGCAACAGTCTAAACATTTATTCTCCTAATTTCAGCAAATCCTTTACGACGCCTTAAGGCCCGTCCAAACTTAATCACACAAATGAAGCATAATTTAGATTAGTCATGCCGTTGCCATTGCCACTGGACAATGCTGCTGGACAACAGCAAACGAACACATACATACGGCATAAGCATACTTGAGCGGTGAGGCCAACACAACTGATTGCATGCGCTGCTCAGCAGATATCAACTGACACCAGCAAACAACAAACACACACACATACGCAACTACAAGTATCTATTGGCAATCTATGCAATGCTGCACAGAAGAGCCACCTTACACAAATACAAACATAAGCTTATATGCCGGCTCCGAAGCGCTAGCAGGCAGTCACCGACAATGCTTAGAAATCACATGTGGCAACACCGCTGCAGCGACATGCAACTGCAGGCGCTTTCGTTGTTGGTTCTGTGCACACTCGCATATATACATATAAAAATGTTGCAGCAACAGTTCGAGTGCCTGCAGTTCGTGTGGTGTGGTGTGGCACGGCGTGGACCTCCATCACTGATAAGTGGGCGTTTAATGAGTCTTGTATCAATATTTACAGCGCCTGCTGCCTTCACCCTCCAGTCCACGCGGCGAAGCTCAGCTACCGTTGTTGATTTTGTTTGTAACGCTCACCACACACACGCTCTCACACACTCGATTGCGGCTTGATGTGGCTGCTGACATTTTGTTTTGCTTTGGTTCGCCTTTGCAGCTGCAGTTGCATGCATAATACTAGACCTTAAATGGGATTTACTTAGCTGCAGATTTCGATTAAACGAACGTATGCCGCAATGGACGCGTGCAAAATGGGCTGTTGCCTGTGATGCTGCCAATGCTGGTGCTGCATAACTAATTCGAGAACACGACACTGGCGAACGGTCGCCTATAAACGTGCTATCGGGCCATTGGCAGGTTTGAAGCAAGAAATTAAGGAACTAATTGCGAGCGTTGCCACCCAGCGTCCCTATCCAAAGCATATTAGCTGTAAATCCGTTGCGATATTGCTAACACAAGCGTCAATGCAAATTAAACGGCTCGCTGAGTGCATGCAACATGCAACACTATACATACACCCATACGAAGCAAGTACGTACACATATAAAAAAAACTTTGAAACGCATAGAAGCACGAAAATAAATCGGAAGTTGAAGTCGAATTTGTGGTCCTCAGCGCTCTATTGTGGATACCAATTTTTAAGCATGCTCAGCTGCTCATCGTGCAACTTTTGGCATTCGACATTTTAACTATGACTTCCGAGGCCATTGCACCAATAAGCCTCTCGAATGAGTTGTTGTTTCTGTTGTTGCTTTTGTTGAGGTAATACCACTTGTCCATTGTTTAATCGTTTCAGCAAACTTCGGTAATGATTTTCCTTTTGTTAATTTCGAAAGCAGTACTTCAAATGGAAATTTTAATTTAAACAAAGAAAAAAAATTACAAAAATACAAACAACAAACGACAAGCGAAAAGCCATTGTTAATTACTGCATATAAATGCCAATTTTTAAGCTTGAAAGGCACATCGACAAACTTTTCGCTGTAACGGATTAACCAAATAACTCCAAGTTCATGAACTTTGGAGGCTCCTACATTAAAAAATTGCTCTGACTGCTCTTTATAGTAAACGGTCTTAAATAAAATGACCGACCTTATTTTATTCCATATGTATGAA